TACCCAGGGATTACAAAAATGTTTTCTTTGGTTTCTTGTAGGCTTTGGTGGCCCTCTCTCTCCATAAGGACTCCTGTTCCAATGTAAAAGCTTGCAAAACCTCTGCTTGCTCCACTTCCTCAAAAGTCAAGCCCTCTGGATTACCCCTACCTTTGCCTGTCCTTAAACGTTTTTGGATGAACATCCAGGCTAACTTGTTCTCAAGTTCTGATGCCTAAAAACACTTTGCAGATCGCCTTTGCTCTCAGGCTCCTCAGATAAATCTCAGGGATTGGGTCTGGCTGTTCACAAGAAATTTGTCATTTAGAGTTTCCTCGCAAAAACTTTCCCCTAGGTTTACCTTACAAAGGTACTCACCCGGTTAACCCAGTATCCTTTAGAATACAATTTCCTGCCCCAAGGAGGATCTTAATTTCTTCCATGTTTATCTTCTAAAACCTCTTCAGAATGATACCATTGTTTCATCTCAGCTTCCGCTCGTGGTCAACAGTCATGAATAATACGAAGTGGAACATATTCTGGAATCCAGAAAAGTAAGAAATTATGTCCAGTATCTGGTTGCCTGGCTTCGGCCCTGAAGAAAATTCTTGGGTCCCAGCTGCATCTGTTCACACTAACAGACTTGTTCGGAACTGCCATCTCCAGAATCCTGACAAACCTGCTCCAAAGGGTCTGGGGGTCCCTCTTCAGAGAGGGGTAATGTCAAAAGCATGTAAAGCACCTGTTTCAGCATCCTGGTTTTGACTGAGCTGCATTCTCCATGTCTGTCTGTCCACCTGCAGAGTGATTGATGTAGGGAGGCTCTGGGTATAGACCAAACCTGTTTTAAGCCTGCAGTCTCATGCTTGTGATAGTGTTTGTAACACATGCTTCCAGTTTCCTGTTTTCCTGACTTGTTCTTGTGCCTGGTCCTGCTTCTTTTCCCTGCCCTGCCAGCTTGTTTGGATTTCCTTGTTGAAGACTTTGGATTGGATTTACACGGACTGACTTTGACTACTCTTTGTACCTTGCCTGCTCTGAACTCGGACTGTCACTGGACTGCTCTGCCTGTCTGCTAACCACAAGTACCTGTCGCTGTGCTTAGTTTGCACCTGCCTCGGTGTGGTAGCTAGGCACTATAGCATTGTGTATAAGACCTGGGAACAAGCGAGTACCAGTAAGTCTGTTTGCCTTATGGGAAAGGGGGTTGCTATAAGAGAAGAACACAGCAGCCAGCTATGGTACCTGACCACGGACGCTAGGGATAGGCTTGACAACATGCCTTAAATACTGGCAGGGCACTTCAGACACACCATGACTACACAAGATGTCAACCAGTGAGTCCTTGATATTGCTCAAGGCAAAGCCAGGTATGCTGCAGGGGGCCAACAGGTGGATGTTGGATAAAACACCAGCAGTAGCTAAACTAGGAATACAAAAAAAGCCACTTACATTCAGCACTCATGTATGTAGCCTTTACTTACATTTAGAATTTTTTTGGTCAAAATCTATGGCTAGCTATAGGTTTCATCTCTACTGCTTAATCAATGCGCAGCACTGCTTGTGCCTGCTTCAAATGATTCTTACAGCCCTTAGTTTTCATCTTGAATTCAGAAAGTTTTATCGTGCCATCTGCATGGTGACATATTTTTATAAGGCAAATGTACTGCTCTCATAAAAAGATCCTACTCTCTGGTATATATCTGTAGTCCATGCAGCCTTACGCTGCCACCTTTCCTTATAACACGCCTGCCTGTCATTTCTAAAGGTTAAACAATACAGTGGAATGAATTGTATATGTTTTTACTGGTACCTTTTTATGCATCTGAAATTACAAAGCTGTCTTCTCTTTGGTAACTAGTGACATACTCAACCTAGATCTTTGATTATATATTATGTTAAGTAACTCTGTTCAAAGATGTAAAATGTTATAAAATATGAATGCAGGTAAACTGATGCCTAAAGATTGGATAGTCTTATCAAATATATATATATATATATATATATATATATATATATATATATTACTGTGCAAAAATTTTAGGCAGGTGTGAAAAAATGCAGAAAGTAAGGAGTGAAGAGGCAGCACCTCATCCTTCTGAAGAATTACTTTATTACATTGAGTAGAGTGTACAGGTAAAACTGGCTTACGAGTTTCGACAATAAGCCTTAATCACAGCCATAAAAAACAGTTCTAGATACAACATTTATATGCAACAGAGTACAAAAAAGACCCCCACCCCCCTCCTGGCCATGGTGCTCAGAGACAATTAAGCAATCAGATCATTCAATTAGCAATGAGCACTACAGAGCAACCATGACAGGTGGGGCAGTAAAAAGAAGAGTAACAGAAAAATCACTAGAAAAAGAAAAATACAAACATAAATTAAAAAAAAATTAATAACAAATATAAGTTGCAAAAAATAAGGGGGGGGGGGATTCTACAGGAATGCAAACCAGATGAACTAATATTACAAATAGCTATTATAATTAATATGATGCAATATAAATACCTTCTTTATTGTTGCTGTGCACAGTCTTGCCATGGATTGAATAGAATAGAATAGGTAGGCGCTACTTTTACACAAAACAAATAAAACAAGTATAGGTGCAATAAGTGAGGAATTAATATTGCCAAAAATCCCTGTATATAGTGCCTCAAATTTGGTGCATACCCCCAAGTGCATGGACCAAACCTGATATTTCTAAACAGATACAAGCCAATTTTACCAATTAATTACATATTAATGTGAAATTTTGAAAAAGTCCATAGATAAAGTGACAATCCTTGCAGCTTCTTATATCTGTCCCAAAGCATAGCAGAGATAAGGTTGTGACTGTAATCTTCACCACGTGCTCACAGAAGTATAGTGTGGATTACTCTCTCTCCAGATCCTTTGAGCCCAGTTAGGTTGTTCAAATACACCTTTGGTCTTATAGGGGACCACCCTCTCTTGGTGTTATCTCCATTACTCCCCTTCAGCAATTCATTAGTGATGGCCAAGTATAAGGGATCACAATTTGCCTCCAATATGATGCTTTATAGATATTCCTCCCACGGGAATGCAGCAAACCATTAAATAAATCAAACAAGTAAATTGCTCTCTATGGTCACATAAAATACGATATTGCACTCACACGTAAAGGTGCCTATAGACCGACACCAGTGTTTCCAGCTTGTAAAATTCTAAAAATGGCCGTCATGCATTCCAAGCCTTGTTCTCACTCTGCTTGGACGTTCCTGGACCCGGGAGTGACGTTATGATGCTCCGACGTACGTTTCGCCCAGCAGCATCTTCAGGAAGTCGGCTGCATTCCTGTGGAGGAATATCTATAAATCATCACATTGGAGGCAAATTGTGATCGCTTATACTTGGCCATCACTAATGAATTGCTGAAGGGGAGTAATGGAGATAACACCAAGAGAGGGTGGCCCCCTATAAGACCAAAGGTGTATTTGACCACCGTAACTGGGGTCAAAGGATCTGGTGAGTGAGCAATCCACACTATACTTCTGTGAGCACATGGTGAAGATTAAAGTCACAACCTTATCTCTGCTGTGGTTTGGGACAGATAAAAGAAGCTGCAAGGATTGTCACTTTATCTATGGACTTTTTTTCAAAATTTCACATTAATATGTAATTAATTGGTAAAATTGGCTTGTTTCTGTTTAGAAATATCAGGTTTGGTCCATGCACTGGGGGTATGCACCAAATTTGAGGCAATATATACAGGGATTTTTGGCAATATTAATTCCTCACTTATTGCACCTATACTTGTTTTATTTGTTTTGTGTAAAAGTAGCGCCTACCTATTCTATTCTATTACAATCCATGGCAAGACTGTGCACAGCAACAAGAAACAATGGTATTTATACTGCATCATGCGCAAGTTTAATTATAATAGCAGTCAATTTGTAATATTTTAGTTCATCTGGTTGCACCTATATTTGTTTTTTTTGATATTTTTTGTGTAAATGTTGTGCCTACCTGTTCTATTCTATTATAAATTATAGTGAAATCTTCACTATATTAGGGGCAGCTTAACACTAATTACAATCACATTAGTATTATTTGGCTCCTAAATAATCACTTTTTTTATTGCCATGGATTGCGACCTTTGACATGAAACTGTCTTACGCAACCTCACCTTAGTAGCAGACTTTGGCTGTTCCTCACCCAGTTTTAAACCACATATACAGCTGTTTTTCTGCTTCAGTTAATAACCGTTTTTTTAATCTACATATGAAATTGATGATCATTAGCACATGTTTGGTATAAATGGTTAATCATACACCTGGCTTACAAAATCCCTGACTTTGTGCAAGTATACAAAGTGCGCAAGTGTAAGAACTGATGCTGGTTTGAAGCCAATAGGCAGTCACTTACTTTACAGCATTTCTTCACACCTGCCAAAAACTTTTGCACAGTAATTCTACACATGTAATGGAAATCAATTTGATATAAAAAGTCTTCTTCTTCTTCTTCTGTGTATAGTTTGAACGTTTTATATATAAACATCAGGGCCAACAATTTCTTGACTATATCAGGGCTTCTATATATGTTCTTTACACATAGCCCTTTTTTCTGCTTAGCAGTACTACACAACGGTTGTGCCACCTCCCAGAGCTGTGCTGTACAGACTGTACTGTAGACTGCAAGATGTAGATACCAAGTTATAATTTTCTTAATGTGTTTATTTATGGATATTTTCTCATATAGAGCTATTTAGAAAAAAGAGAGATGATAATTGCAAACAAGCAGGCTTGCTACATTTATCAACAAAACAATAACAAACCAAGATTCAAACACAACATGCACACACTTTTCATTCAGCACCTTTATCTTCCCCTCCTCCACCCTATAGCGGAAATACTGGTACAAGGAGGCAGGGGTGCACAAAATCATGTATATATACGTGATTTTACATCTCCGGGCAGGGGGTGCACACGAGCCAAGCGCATTCCCTACCCACGACGCCATTTGCGGCCTCAGCTGTCAATCACCGGGTCCCGCCCGGTGATTACTTGCCAGCACCCGGTGATCGCCAAGTATTACTGTTGGAGGAGAGACCTGTGTATAAACAACACACATCTTTCCCTTGTCAGCTCCTGCACACTGCTTTTTATGGCTCTGCATAGCACACACACAGCACATAATGTGAAACAGCACACAGTTAACCCTTCGATCGCCCACATGTTAACCCCTTCCTGTCCAGTGTCATTAGTACAGTTTTAGGGCTTTTTATTAGCACTGATCACTGTATTGGTGTCACTGGGAATGTCAGTGACACCAAGTCAGTTCCCTCCAGTGTTATAATGCCTGCTGCAGTCCCGCAGTCCCACTATAAGTTGCTTATTGCCGCCATTACTAGTAAAAATGAAAAAATAAAAATTCCAGTATATATACAGCCATTTGTAAAAGCTATAACTTTCACATAAACCAATTAATGTACATGTATTGGGATTATTTTATCAAAGATATGTAGAGAAGAATACATTTTGGCCTAAATTTATGATGAAACTTGATTTTTAAAATTTTTTTACTGGACATGTTTAATAGAAAAAAGTCAAAAAATATTATTTTTTTCTCAAAATTGTCAGTATTTTTTTGTTTATAGTGCAAAAAATAAAAAGCGCTGAGGCGATCAAATACCACCAAAAGAATGCTCTATTTGTGGGGACAAAATGACGCAAATTTCATTTGGGTACAGCGTTGCATGACTGAGCAATTGTCAAAGTAATGCAGCGCCGTATCACAAAAAATAGCCTGGTCAGGAAGGGGGGTACATCCTCTGGAGATATTACCACTATCTATACAGTATCTGTAAAGAAATAAGCCCATTTCCACTGTAGGGGAAAAGACAATCCTGCCATCAGCCCATCAACTTGGGTTACCTAGTGCATCTATCCAGGGTTGTCAAATTTTTTTCAGCAGACGCTACTATTATATAATATTTCCAATTTAGGTCAACAGGTCTTCCAAGAGCTTTCAAAGTTGTGCAATTCTCAAAGGGGAGGCACATTTAGTTTAGTAAAATGAGTTTCCTCATATAGAAGAGTATAGATCAGACTATGGTTTACCAGGTCACAGTTAGGTATTTACACTGCTTGCAATAATCAAAACACATGTAATGATGTATTAATGATTACAAAGCTGTACTAATTCCTGTCTTTTGTATCTGCCTAGAGTTCAGCTTTAAAGTTCATCAAAAGCCTCTAGTTAATTTTCCCTCTAAGAGTGATAGGATCCAATTCCAGGTTCCTCCCATTCAACCCATGATTAAAGTGTTACTAAACCCGGGACCCTGCATTCCCTATATCTGGTCTCCCACAATACACAGAACATGGAGGTGCAATTATTTTAGTAAATATAAACTGCTAAATACCTTTTCTCATCAGCAGTTACAGCAGTCTTGTGTCATCTATCGGTGTGCAGCAGAGAAATGGTTAAGGCTTGTAGGAGGAGTTTTCTTTCCGCCTTAGGAGGATGCAAAACCCCTGACCTCTGTCTGGACAGTGTTGATTGGCCCTGTGTTGATCACATGCACCCTCCCAAGAAAAAAACAAAAACAAAAAAACCTCTCTAACAATACACACAAAACTGAGCATGTTCATGTGGCTACGGGTTCAGTCTGTCTTATCAGGTGGACATTTGAACAAGAGGAGCGGCAGAGAAAACAGGATCAAATGGTCTTTTTACACAATGCAGCGGATTAAGCATGCTTTACTGCATATACAGACTGATTTTACTGTTGTGGGTTTAGTAACACTTTAAAGTGGAGCACCACCCAAAAGGGAAAGTTACACTTTAAGCCTTTGTCTCCTGCTCCCTATTAAGGATTAGCACCTTTGGGGAGCTGGGGGGAGTGGGTACTTGAATTTGACAGGTACCCGCTCCCACTTCCACTGAGATCGCCTAGGTGATCAGAAGCGGAAGTTGTCCCCCCCCTCCCTCCCCGTAGTCTTCTGGGACACGTGACACGTGACAGGTCTCAGAAGACTACGGGGCCATTCACAAAGTGCAATGCTTCTCGCGCGTGTGCATGGGCACCCGGATGTCAAAGCTGTCACAGCCGGGTCTCCACACTGAAGATGCCGGCGCCAGGAGAGAAGACGGCCAGTGAAACCAGCAGTGGTGAGGGCACCGCAGGACCGAGGGACAGGTAAGTGTCTGTATTTTAAAAGTCAGCAGCTACAGTTTTTGTAGCTGCTGGCTTTTATTTTTATTTTTTTTAGGTGGAACTGCTTTAAACAACAGCCTGGCTACTGACATAAAGTAATGCAATGGGGTTGATTTACTAAGTGCAAATAGGCCTTCGTATATTGCAAGGGAATTTGCCCTAGAGCTTAGTGAATGTGTTGATGTTTTTCTTGCATATAAGTGTAAGTGTACCCCAGGTTCACTGCCAGCAGGGGAAGAAAATTCACATGGAGACTAGTTGATCTGGTAAAGTGTATTAACTTTATATTACTGAAGAAGGCCAACAGACTCCGCAGACATGGCCACACCGGACTGAAGCACTTATAATGAATTAGGCACAGGATATCTGTGCACACTGTAGACATCCAACAGCATCCAACAGAGGAGGCAGCTAGGCGGCAGACCAGCAACTGGGTCCCTGGATGAAGAAGGCTACTGCCCAAGACACAACGACAGTCCCTACTCCGATCCTCCTCCACAGGAACTTGTCCCTACACCAGTCAATCTGTCCCTGACTTACTCACAATACAAATGTGCTCCAACTTGAGGGCTACAGTGCTATTTATTAGCACTACCCACACCAAAGATGGCCACGAAGGTCAGTCTAGGCAGTAGCATCCCAACGGACAACTGCTCCCTTGATGACTCCTACGGAGTCCTCAGAGGAACCTGGCCTCCCCCTTGTCTTGCACCCTCTCTGCAGGGCAGCTTCTGAACAGTGCCACCCTTGCAAGGAGGCCAAAATACACCTGCCTACATGATTGGATGATGGAAGTGAGCAGAGCTTCACCTCATTCACTAAGCTCTAGGGCAAATTCTCTCGCGAAGTGGAACTTTCCTTGCAATGAGAGCCTCCTAGTTGCCTTTAGTAAATCGACCCCAATGAAGGGTAGTTTTTCTTTCTCAGGTGACATTGATGATGCAGCAGCAGTCATACAAAGACTTAATAAAGTCAGGGAAAACAGTACCAGTGAACACCCAACATGCCCACTGCCACCAGTGAAAGAACCCCCTTTAGACTTTTGAACACATTTATTTTGATGCCCCTGGTAGGTATTTAGCTCATTTAAACTAAAAATTCAATTGGGTTTCAGACTGCAAAATTGTCTAACACATACTGAAGTTTTTTTTCCTATTTAAACCAGCCGTGGTCTGCAAACATTATTATCATAGTTCAATCGACCACAGAACAATCATCCCCCAGACATTTATGTATAATTTTAACTAACAATTATTTCCCAAGAACTTCTAGCCTCATTTTAATGCAGTGCTTACTTGAAGGATGCTCTTGCTGTTTCAAGGTACACCATTTTATACAATCGCTCTTGCTCTTTTGACGTACACTGTTTTATACAAAGAAAGTTATTTCTGAAAAAAATTGAATGAGCAATTACGTTTGAAAATTGGATCTGTGGAAACTTAAATATATTCTTCTCATGAATCCAATTTACCACTAAATGGAATCCTGGGGTAAAATTCTGTCTTAGTTTACACACAGATTAAAACAGTAAAAGTTTCATATTTATCTGAACTGTTAGGAGCCTTTAGTAGCTTTACTAAAGCTATTATGTTCTCAGGGCTTTATTCAATCATTTTTCCAAAGAGTTCATTTTTGTGTTGGCAAAGATGAATAAAACTCATCGATGTATGTTACTTTCATAATGACTTTCATTATAGCTGCAGACTTGTGTCCTACAGAAAAAGAGTGGGTGGATGCCATGTGTTATAAATTCGGAACTCTTACCACCTCTAACCTATAGTGAATACATACAATTTACAACATATGTTTAATCGCTTTCTCATGTACTAAAGGAGACCTCTGATTAGAAATAAGAGCAACAGCCAGGGGAGGACTGGAAACCTTTAGTCTGATGGGAAATACAGCCAGCTGGCCTTTTGTCAAAAGCCCAGTCTACATGGGGGCCTTTCCAACATGTACAGAACAGAAATGTGGCACAAAAAAGAATATACAGCAAGGTTTATGGATGCTGTGAAACAGGAAATGTACAGTAGAGCATAGAGAATAGTATGGAGTTGAAGAGAGAATGTACATCACAGCATACAGAATGGGACAGTGTGGAAGGGAAATGTACAACACAGATCCTCTTAGATTGTAAGCTCTAACGAGCAGGGCCCTGTTTCCTCTTGTACCAAATTGTATTGTAACTGTAATGTCTACCCTCATTTTGTAAAGCACTGCGCAAACTGTTGGCACTATATAAATCCTGTGTAATGTAATAATAAACTAGAAAAGCTACAATTTCTGGGGAAATTGTGTGAAGTGTTCTTGCCTCCACCAGTAGTCCACAACTGGAGTGGGCGGAGTAACTGGGTGGAGTGGCTTGAGTAACTGTTGTGTGGTTGGAGTGGATGGAGTAACTGTGAAAAGGTTGGACTGGGCAGAGTAACTTTATGGAGTGGGTAGAGTAACTGTGTGGAGTGTTTGGAGTGAGTAAAGATAGTAAACATTACACTAACCAATTGATTGATCAAATTTAAAAAGTGCACATGGCAAGCTTGATAGAGTGAGAAATGCATTTCAACTTTCAATTATTTAGTTTTAAAAACTAAAAATCCTACAGCGAAGAGCTTTATACTGTGAGAATCACAAGGCCCAGACCTACATTTTGATGCATAGTATGTCTCTGAAATATTAAAATGAAGGCACAGTCGCAGTTTAGAAATTGCCCTTCAAAGTTGAGGTGGCTAGAGTGCAGTTTCGATGAATGTCAATGGGCAGCGTGAGTTGCAAACAAATGGTCATATTGTGAAAACTATCAGGACTATGGCTTAGCCGTGGACATTTTTACTGGCATCAGGGATAGCTGAATGTTTTGATATAAGATTTGTGTAGGTGGGCTTGAAACTAAGGGAGTGATGGCAGTTTAGAAATCATGTTCTGATTTTTCAGCTCACACTCTAGCTTTTGTCAGCTCCCACTCTAGTTTTGAACATTCCGCCATTCATTCCTATGGGACCAATTTCACCACAAAAATGCCGATATTTCATGAACCATTCGGCAAAACGTTCCACAAAGTAATAGCACACCAATCAGGAACAATCCGCACGTTTCGGTATATTACTGTCTATGTAGTGTAAAAACTGTGGGAGGAGTTAGGGTGGTAAATTTGGCTATAATAATAAGAATATATATGTGAGATAACAGTAAGTGGTCTTGCCATGCAAGAACACTTAATAATACAGAATGGGTACAGTGTTGCATGTCCGAGCAATTTTCATTCAAAGTGTGATAGCGTTGAAAGCTGAAAATTGGCCTGGGCAGGAAGGGGATAAAAGTGTCCAGAATGGAAGTGGTTAAGCTTTGACAATAAAACCTGGAAGCTGATTTAGTACTATGCACAGCTGCGCCACATTCTGTGTATTCCAATTTTAATAAATCTTCCCCTTTAAGGTAATATTAACCCCCTGGCGGTATTCCCGAGTTTAGCTCGGGGTTAAATTTCAGTACCAAAAGCGGTAACCCCGAGCTACACTCGGGAATACCCTGCAGCATTGCTCCGGGATCCCTCTTGCACTTAACTTGTCCTTCTCTCCCGCGATGTCTCCCCTGCAAAGTCCCCAGCCATCTCCTCTGGCCAATGCCGGCATCCGTCTTCCGGTCCCTGCAAGCGTCGGGACGTACGGGGGATGGAACTGGTGGGAAATTCAAAAATTTTAAAAGTGACATTCACTCAATATACTAAAATCACATAATAAAACATTACTGTATCAAAGCATTTCACATACATTTTGCCCCTAGTGCTGTCCTGTGCCCTGCCTGCATTTTTACTGTTCTTTGTGCCTGAAAACTGAGAAAAGTCCATAGTGTCCCTTTAGGTCAAAAGCAATTTTAGACCAGCTAGAGAACAGCGATAGTAAATTAGAATCACTTGCAGAATTGAGTGATAATGATTTGTGGGGAAATTTGTCATCAGATACTGAAAAAATTTTTGTAACTTTGCTCAGTGATGTGCGAACTTGAATTACATATTATTATTATTATATTATTATTTTTTATGCTTATTTATTATATTATAATTTATGATTTTGTGTTTTAAATTTTATCATACCCAGGATGTTTACTAGACTCTTGTTCGAACAGATTTCAGCGAGTTATTCCTAAAAAATTACTGCCCTACAATAAAAAATTACATATTTCCATGGAAAAAAAAATGTACCGCTTTGAGCACAGAAATACTGACATAATCATACTGCTAGGGAGGTTAAAAGTGTTTTTTTTTTTTAAATAACAAACATGTTATACTTACCTGCTCCGTGCAGGGGTTTTGCACAAAGCTGCCCTGATCCTTCTCTTCTCAGGTCCCCTGCCGGTGCTCCTGGTTCCTCCCTCCTGCCGAGTGCCCTCAGAGAAAGCAGCTTGCTATGGGGGCATCCAAGCAGGCTCTCTCTAGAGCCACTGCTCTGAATGTCTACTCACACACAGAGCTGTGGTTGGGCCCACCCCCCCTTCCCCTCCTCACTGGCTGTAATTGACAGCAGCAGGAGCCAATGAGCAGGGAAAGTCCCTGGAGAGCTGAGATCCTTGTGCACATCGCTGGATCGTGATGGGGCTAAGATAAGTATTGGGGGGCTGGGGGGACTGCTGTACACAGGTTTTTACCTCCATGCATAGAATGCGTAAAGGTAAAAACCCTTGAGCCTTTACAACCACTTTAAGTATTTTCTATTGTTGTTTGCTCCTAAACTGGACTGGCCAGCTATTTGTGTTAAACATGATTAACCTATACTTATTCATCATTCAATTTTGTATTATATTGTTAAAGCATGATCATACTGGACAATCAATGACACCTTTATAAATATCAAATAATTAAGACATTTTAATAAAACTGTAAATATTATATGAAAGCGTGATAAGAATGATGATTATATTTTTTTTCCGGAAACAAAACTTTGTGTATGGAATTTATTTCCAACTCTCCCCATGTAATACAACAGCATATGTTTTTAGCAAAAGAGACGTGTTCAGTCAGTCAGGCATGCTATGTGAGAACACTCACCACGAAGTATTAACAGCATTTAGGGATTGGTAACATAACACCCTATTTGAAAAGTTCACTAATCATTAACTTCTTGCTACTTCAACTGCTGGTCCCTGAAGTCTTTATTCAGGAACCTGACAGACTGCAATTGTTTGCTGCCTTGTAGCAAATAGAATAAAATGTCAATATGAACCCCATTAAGATCATTATACAGCAAAAATGAATGGTGCGTGAAAGATGCCTTTCTCACTTCGGACCACCAGGATAATGAATAGAAGTGCCCTCGGATGAACCACATCCCCTGAGGATCCTGGGTACAAGGGGATTATTATATGTGGCTTCTACATATAATTACATCCAGATTGTGCAATGGAAATGTAAAGGGCTATATTCCCACAGTATAAGTTCATTATCCACATGCCCGACACACTGGTGACTGTATACAGTTAGAATACAAAGGTCTTTGGGATACTGTCCTCAGTTTGTTCTTTCTTTAATGTATACAGGACATGTGTTCAAAGAATGTATTGCTTAAAGCAGAGGCACTGTTATTTCAGAGTTCATATATAATTCCAACCTATTGAAACTTGGTATTGTATAATTGGTCTGCACTGTCTTG